AGCCTCCAGGGGATAAAATCAGCAATTTATGCAACAATTACTAGAGGCATGTACTGGAAAGCTTGACATTTATGTTTCCAGTAAAAAATTGTGCCAAAGAGTGCCTCAGTTGCTGGAGGAGTTGGGGGACATTGTCCTTCTGGTTGGTACCTGTAGCTGTGGTTAGGTAAAAAAGACCCTTCTTCAAGCAGAGGGAAAGAACCATTTTTCCAATGATTTAGGTGGTCCAGTAAAAGAGGGCAGATCTACCCAAAGAACTGTGTCTACCTACGACCTTACGCCAACACAGCTACAACTCAGAGCCCTGCTGCAAATGAATGCATTTTAGTAGCCAGGGGTGTAGGTTGTAGTCATGTTGGTCTAAGGACATCGGCAGACAAGGTTCTTTGGGTGAATCTGATATCTTTTATTAGACCAACTCAAACAGTTGGAAGAAAAATTTTCTGAGCAAACTTTCGGGTTTAAAAACGCTTTGTCATGCTCTGCAGGTGATGCGTGTTCTCTCTTGCTGGAGAGAACAAATAGTAAAGACGACAGAGGTAGTAGTTTTTAGTAGCTAGCCAACTCCTCGGACTTCGGGGAAAGAAAGCCCAATAAGTAATTAAACACAAAGCCCAATGCTCGTGGAGGATCCGACCCCAAGTTTTCCCTGCGAGCTGCCCGAAACCAAGACTGAGCCGAGAAAGAGCAGCCCTGCGGAGAGGCTCTGGCTGGTCAGGGGGGCCAAGAGGGCTACCTGAATTAGGGAGGCCACCGGCTCGCTGCTAAGGGGCAACACAGGCGGCCCCAATAGCTCAATCCCCACCCCCGGCCGGGCAAGCAACAGAGAGCTCAAACCCCCGGCCCCGGAGCCGCGCGGGTTACTCACCTCCGGCCTGCTCTCAGCTGCTCCGTCTGCGCTGCGCAACGTGGGGCGGGAAGGGAGGAGCCGCGCGGCTGCAGCAGGGCCTGGCCGGGCCGGACGGTGAGTGCGGCGCCAAGCGGGAGCGGGCCCACCCCGGGAAGGGGAAGTGGGTTGGTCTGTGTGCAGCTGGTCTTGGCTCTCCTGCCTTCCCCCCGGCTGTCCCCAAGCAGCCCCTTGCCCCCAGTCACGGGACAGACCGGAGAGGTTCCTAACGGGGAGCCAAGCCCTTGGGGCCTGTGCAGCGGGGCCTTTTTCTGGAGCCAGGAAACGAGCTGGGCTTTCCCCACGGGCAGCTGCAGGCTGAGAGTGGGCCTCAACCTTGGCTGTTCCAGGACTGGAATTGACTTCGGGTAGTGTTAAAGTCTACGCTTCAGGAATGTGAAAAACTTAGTTTTTTTGTTTTACACACACACGCACGCACGCACGCACACACACACACACCGTGTGTGTGTATCGGGTGGGCAAAATGTGGGCTGGATGTGGACTGCCAGGCCATTCTATCCGGCCCGCAAGGCCCCTAAAAATTTGGAACATTAATATTAATCTGCCCCGGCTACCTGTCGTGCAGCCCTCAGTGGCTTGCCAAAACTCAGTAAGCGGCCCTCTGCCCAAAATAATTGCCCACCCCTGATTTTATATTGTATGTATGTATGTATATACACAGACACATACACGTGCTGTGTGTGTGGATAATGAATTTCCATAGGTCAATATTCTCATTAATTCCAATAGACTATTGGAATATTATCTGTAAACTAATGGCATTAATAAATATGCATTATACATTAAATATACGTTAATTAATAGAAGTGTGTGTGTATACATAATATTCTGATAGTTTATTGAGGAACATGATGAGAGATTTGATAAGTGTGTCATGTGGATCAGAACTGAGGTGGTGGTTGAATTTTTTATGCCAATATTATTCACTGAATAAAATAATTGTAATGGTAATGGAATATTTGTAAACATATGTATCATTTTCATACTTTTAAATGCCTTTCTTTAACAGTAAACATTTTTGGTGTGGATTTTATATGAGACAATAATTTGCCTTATGACCTTATCTGTAGGGTAATGGATGTTTCTGAGTGGAAACTGCCTTAATTTTAAATATAGAAATGCCTGTCTTCCCCAAAGGAAACTGTCCCAAGTTCTTGGTGCAAGCAGTGTTGAAGATGACTCCTTTCTCAATTTTCCTCCTTTAGCAAGGGATAGCTTGTGATAAATTCTCTAAGCTGAAAAATGCAACTCTGTTCACAATGCAGAGCTTTACTTCTTTTGCTTATCTTTAATAAAAAAAAAAGAGTATTGTATACTAAAAGAAATAATAAAATTGAGGAATCCAACTTTTCTTTTTCTTGTTCAGGTTGTGTGCATAAGCAACATATATTACCTACAGATCTGATATTTAACATGCAGAAGAGTAGAGGTCGGACAGGTAGAAAGAGAAGAAGAAAACATTTTAAAGATTTGACTTCAGGTGGAGGTACTATACATCTTAATCTATTGCTTGCTCACTTTTAGGGAATCAGCAATGCTAATTAGCTAAATATATTCTTGCAGTACATATCTGCTAAATTCCCTATGTACTTAAAGACAGTGATTGCATATGCTAGCTGTCACATACAAAAGAACATTTATTTTCTGTCTGCCAGGGGTGGGCATTATGGATTCTGTTTCTGGTTGATGGAGGCCACTGTAATTCCTCTTAAATTCTTTGAGTCCAGACCCAGCTTATGATCTACATCTGGCTTGTGTTGCTGTGTCATGTAGCCTGCAGGGCTCCCCACAGGTCCAGTAATTTGATGATGGCATTGCACCCCTTCTGCCACATTTCCAGATCCATAGAAAGCCCTGGGCCCAGCGTATCGGACGGGGTATTGGATCCCAGCACACAGGATCAGATGCAGGTGGTGCTGGACCCCAGAACCCCAATCCCAGTGGGTAGGGGATGGGAAGGGGGTGGTGCTGGGCCCCTGGGACTTATTCCTGGAGCTCAGGGGCAGTGTCAGGCCACGGGATCTATACCTTGGGGGTCAAAGGGGGTGGTCCTGGGCCCCCAGGACACAATCCCAGTTCATGGGGGACAGAAGGAGGTAGTGCTAGGCCACAGGGCCTGATCTGGCCTGCAGACTGGCCATGTACCACACTTCTGGCCCACAGAGCCAGAAGGTTGAGCACTACTGCTTTAAGTCTGATCCTGCAAAGCCCTGGGTAGTTGTTCTGAATACCTTCAATTTCCAATTAAATAAATAGCCACAGGGGTTGTTCAGAATCTAACAAAGGAAGGCCCATCCAAACTAAACAACCCACTGGGCTGGCGGGCATGAGGCATACCAGTTCTTAGCCAGCAGCACACCATTGAATGATATGGCCAGCTGCCTTTGACTCCCCAGTCTGAATAACTAGGTAACATTGACAGCTGAGCCTGCTGCGATGCAGTGTTTGTTTTGAGCCTGGTGCAGGTCTTGCACTCATGCCTTCAGAGCCATAGCAAGATGCCTTAGCTGCTCTGCTACCACATCCTGAACTTAGCAGACTGAAGGCTCTCTCACTGTCCTACTTCAGGCCTTATTGTATGTTATTAAAAAATACCCATCTTCTCTGTATAGCATCAAATTGTTCTATAATAAGAGCACCATGATTTTAATTAAAATGGGTCTATAAGATAATCACTCTCTCTTCTTAATTTAGTAAGCTATAGTCACAAATTGGAATATATACAGCTTAAGAAATGGCTGAAAGAAAGGGGATTTGAAGACAATCATTTAAAGCCAGCACAATTTTCAGGTAATGTTTTAGTTTTAATGAATTACAGATAGTATTTACATGTTACCCAGATTACAAGTAACTTTGTAGGTTGGCTTCTGATAAAAGAGGCAGAAACAGGTATACAGGCCAGCCTTTTATTTGCTTGCACTTCAAAATACAAAAACAAACATTTATCCCAAAGTGTGTCTGGCTACTTGAGACAGCACAACATAGATTCTCACCTATAGCAGCTGGGGAGACTTATGTCCTTTTCTTCCCCATTGTGGAATGCTGTTCAACACTTCTGCTTTTTCTCTATCTTAGTTTATAGTCTTCTTATGCAAGGCTGTTTTGTTTTTACAAATTATCTCAGCATCTTAACAAAAATATATCTATTATAGCAAAATAGCATCTAATACATTTGATTACATCAATCACTACTACTAATTTTAAATAAAGCTATGATATAGTATATTTGGATTAATTCATGCATGGTCTTCCCTTGTACTGTCTCTTTTCAGGCTTGTGCTTTGTTTAATTGTATTTCATTACTGCTTTAGTTAGGCATATGGATTGCTTTCTTTACTTTGCTAACTGAGCTAGTTGTCACATGTAAAGGTTCACACTATGGTTACTCAGAAGCAGACTTTGAGGCCTTCTGCTTAGCCACATTTCTGCAGCTTGGGTTAGGCCTCTTGAAAATGGACAAGGCTGGCAACATACAGCTGCTCCAGGGCTGTCTAATGCTGACAGTGGTTTGTATTCCTACTTGACTGGTTGACTTTAAGGATCGGTCTTTGTTGTCCCGACCTATAGACAGTAAGCCTCGTTTGTCCTTCAAGCAACTGTATACAAGGGTAAGTTCATAAATAGATTTGGGGACCCAAGAACTGGAAGCTGTTCCTTACTGGTGGATGCTTGGGGTTTGTGTCTTTGGCATAGTGGAGGAACATGGAAAAAAACCTGACCTAGCTCTAAACAAGAGAACTTGGCCTAGCTGCATTAGTGTGGTACTTTGTTTGGACTAGATAGCTCTGCTTCAAAGCAGCTTATTGCTAGTTGGCCTATCCAGAGTGCCATTTTAATGTAACTATACTACTTCCAGTACCTGAGCTAACTTGTTCTCTTATATCTCTGGACAGTGCTGCTTGTGCCTTGGAGACGCATGTAATCAGTGGGATTCTGTAAAGGCCTTGGGGTCCACTCACATAGGACTGAGGCCTTCAGTGTTAATAGGGCTCTTTGCAGGAGTAAAGTATGTTGCATAAGTGCCAGGACCTTAGCATTTCCTCATTTAACTTGCTCATTAATTGAACAAACATATCAGCACATGGTAAGCAAAGTTTAGGATGTAGACTGAAGTTGATAGCAATACATGTCAGGCACTGGGAAATGTTACTATAGGCATTTATGTATGCCTATTTCTTTAATAAATACAGTACTTTGAACAGTCTAATAGCATTAAATTGCAAGAGAGCAGATGGTATGTAGCATAAACTGAGGAAAAACATTGTGCTTAGAATGTTGCAAGGTCATGGTTAAAAATTTGCGCACAAGACTAATGGCCCATAAAAAGCATCACTAGCAAAGGAGAAAGATGTGTTTTTACAGAGAAATTTAACAGTTATTTATCTTTTTGTCTCCAAAATGGAAGAATACAGGGAGATTGTTTAGATGCAGGAGTTAAAGAGAAGGCCTCAAGAATGTGATAGAGAGCAGAGACAAGTCTGAAGCGGGGGAGAGAGAAACAAAGTTCATACATAAGGGCTGTGTCTACACATGCTATTAAGGTGAAACAATAAAATCAGGCACTTAGACACCAGAGTTTATTGCTCTTGGGCACCACCTTTATATGTGTGCCCAGGACTGTAGCACGTTGAGCCGGGTCAGAGCAGTTCTGGCTGGCAGGGGGCCTGGGAGGCCAGCCTGCCAGCCTGGGGCTGCTCTGACCTGGCTCAACATGCAGCAGAGGGGCTGGTGGGGCATGGGGGTGCTCCAGTGAGGGCTAGCTGGCAGGCAGCCCCTGCACTGAAGCACCCTTGTGCCCTAGCCAGCCCTGTCAGCATTTACATGTGCGGTGCTGTGGAGTAAAATACTCAGCAGCAGGGTGCTACTTGTAAATACAAGTACAACCAAGATCTGTATTTACAAGTAGTACAACCTGCTGTGGAGTTAATTAGTTTCCTGTGGCCTCATAGGGCCATGTGTAGACACAAGAGGTACTGTGGAGCGAATTAGTCTACTCCACAATAAATGTCTTGTGTAGATGCGCCCAAGATGGAGAAAGTCCATAAGGGCCCCTGACACTGATTCTATATTTTATTAGAATTTTAAAGCTTTTAAGTTTCCCTTTTCAGGTCAGTTTTAATGAACTCTAGTTTATTATAGTTTTATGGGGAAGACAAGTCTGTAAATTGTATTTAAATCATTCTCTTTGTTCCTGTGCTGTTTCAGATACAGGAAGAGGACTATTGACCACAAAAGCTTTTCAGGTTAGTACTTGTGCCTCATGAACAGTAGAAGCAGGTGTAGATTTTCTGGCCCAGAATCAATTTTGTGCCTAAGAAAGCCTAATAGTCCAGAGGCAGTGTGAGAGCATATCTTTTGTACTCTGAGGAGCAGGAAGCAGTTGTCTGTTAAGTAAGCCCCCTTCATAAGTTACAGCAACTTCTGATCCCTCATGCACTTTCCGTAAGGGAGAGGAGGCTGATGAAATAACACCTTGTGCTTCAGTTGTTAATAGTCCCTTGGTACCCAAGGGTGTCCATTAGCAAATACCTCCATCAAAGGGGTCTTCCTGCAGGTCCAGGGATGTTGTGTCCAGGCCATGTGCCTGCAGTTCTGCCTGCTTATTTAGTGTAAAGGGCATATCAAAGAGGAGATGTGGTGGAGTGGAGCATAGTCCCTTAAGGGTCCTCTTTCCCCTGTCTTGAGGAGAGTTCTGGTGCGTAAGAGATTCTAGCTTGAAATGCTTTCCCCTCTGGCAAGGGGAGAGGTGATTCTTGTTAGCCAGTCACCAGTTACCCACAAACTGTTCATCTAACTTTTACTCTGATTTTTTCCCCAAAGGCAGGAGAGTTGATTATTTCATTGCCTGAAAAATGCTTACTCACCACTGCCACTGTCCTTAATAGTTACCTTGGGAAATACATTGTAAGGTAAGTGGAGGAAAAGAAGCAGTTCCTTAAGAAGTTTCTCAGTTGCTCTTTACTATTCCTTATACACTAGTTAGTTTGCTGTTTGAACTGGTGTTAAAGTTTTACGCTATACTTGTCTGAGTATTTCCTTTGTATAGCGTAAAACTTTAACACCAGTTCAAACAGCAAACTAACTAGTGTATAAGGAATAGTAAAGAGCAACTATTCAAACAGGTAAAGCTTTAAAGCTCTTATATACCTGGATCTGTATACTTGTCCACAATTACTGAACATGCATATGGTAAGGGAATGAGGACACAAAGCACTAAATTAATGTATTTCAATTTCTTTGAAATTTCAGAACAGAAGCTACTGTAGAATATTGAAGAGTATTTTACATGTTTTAAACAACTTGTACTATTTGAATTCATTTTCACAGCATGCCAGTAAAATTACAAAAATAGAAATAATGAAAAAGACATTTAGAGGTGAACAACAAAAGAAGTTTGTCATTGAAATTGTATGTTAAAATCCCCAGTTTTTGAAAGAATGGTGGTGGTAGGATTTTCTCTCTCACACCTTTGTATTTCTGTTGTGTTTGTTCTATAGATGGAAGCCTCCCCTGTCTCCTTTGATAGCACTTTGTACATTTTTAATAGCAGAGAAACACACTGGGGAAAGATCTCCGTGGAAGCCTTACCTTGACATTCTACCAAAGACATATACCTGTCCTGCTTGTTTGAAACAAGAAGTAGTGAAACTTCTTCCTGATCCCTTAAGAAGGAAGGCTCAGGAGCAAAGAACAGTGGTCCAGGAGCTTCACTCCTCGTCCAAGCCTTTCTTCTCTTCCCTGCAGCCTTTGTTAACAGAGAATGTAGAGGCAGTTTTTACCTATGATGCCCTGCTGTGGGCTTGGTGTACCATTAATACAAGAACAGTGTACATGAAACAGCCACAGAAGGAATGCTTCTCTAGAGAGCCAAATATTTATGCACTAGCTCCTTATTTAGATCTGCTCAATCATAGTCCAAATGTTCAGGTAAGAACAAGCAAAGGTGACATTAACTTGTCAATCGTGTTACTTGATACAGCACACACATTTTTGTGTCCACTAAGTTGAGAACATGGGGTTTCACTGAGAGGTCATGTCTGGATTAAAACTGTAGCTGGGTATGCGTGAGCTTCCATATGCCATGGAAACATACCGTGTTACTTGGAGTATTACAATAAGTAAGATTTTTATGAGTCAAATAGGAATACATTCTCCCTCCCATGGTACCTTTACTTCAGTACACCACTATGTTGGTGCACATGAAGCATCCACAAGTCTCAGGTAGAGGATTGCTTTCAGTATAACCACTGTGTTGGCCTGTTGTAAGCAGCCCTACAGTGCCCTCTCTCAAGGTTCAGCAAAACAGGTACGTCAAGGGAATGGTTTCTGGAATGACTAATACTTCTGGGTGCAGACCAGCCTAAGGGAAGTCCTCAGAAGGATGTTATACACGAGAGCAAACCCTGGCAGGTCTAATTCATCCCAGGGGTCAAACTGGCTCATGTAACTGCATGGAATCATGGCAGCACATCAGTAAGAGCCATCTTTGACTCTGTGTCCCCTGAGTGGGCCTTTTTGTGCTCTGCTTCTTGGATATGGTATGTGATTTGCAATTCTGGATCTTCAGATGGCAGTGCTGGCTAGGAGTGCCTTTCACCAACTCCATCTGATGAGAAGGCTGACCTTTCGGATCTGATCTGACCACCATCAGCCCTGCCTTTGTAATCTTGAGGGTAGACTATTGCAATGCACTCTATGTGGGGCTGCCCTTAAAAACCATCTGGTGACTGCAGCTGGCGTAGAATGCTGCAGACCTCCTGATGGGAGTGGGTCACCAGGAACGCATAACTCCAGTCTTCTAGTGTCTGCGTTAGCTCTCAGTAGCCTTCTGGGCATAAGAACTTTGAATTATATAGCCGTAAACAGCTTGGGACCTACATATCGAGGGGACTGCCTTCTCCCCGATACCCCATCATGATCCCTAAGCCAGCCAAGAGGAATTTCCTGCAAGTACTATCAGTACACCCAGTTTGCTTGGGAAAAACACATGGGAGGTGATTTCCCACAGCTGCTCATCTCTGAAACTCCCTCCTTCTTGAAGCCCATCAGCCCGAGCCTGGGCATCTTTCAGAAGGACTGCAAAACCTTACTGTTTAGACAGTCATTTAGAAACCAGAACTAGGCCAAGAAGTAAGTTAGTGGGTCTCTGCTTTGTTTTGATTTGTTACTTTGCTTTGCTTATTCTAGGTGCCCTTTTAAGTTATTCTGTCCCCCTTGCTGTAAGCCATCCTGACCCTTGCTGGGAAGGATGGCATATAAATTGCAGAAGTAGATAAATAAATGATTTGAGGAGATCTTTCATCTGAGCCCAGCTGGCCTGAAAATAGGCCCTGGGTGTAACAAAGAAAACTCTAATCTTCAATATCAGTTTGCATTGAATGCTAGATATTTATACCCTTTTATTATGGTACAGTAAAAACAATGAATATTGCTGGTCTTCAGTATTTTAGATGTGGTATTTCTTTTTTTCCCTGCCATTAACCGAAATGTCTTTTTTTCTTTCTCAAAGGTGAAAGGCATCTTTAATGAGCAGACGAGATGTTATGAAATTAGGATGGATTCACACTGCAGAAAATATGAAGAAGTGTTTATCTGTTATGGACCTCATGATAACCAGCGGCTCCTGCTAGAATATGGATTTATTGCCATTGATAACCCACATAGTAGTGTTTATGTCTCAACAGGTTGGGCTATAGACTGATCTTAGACTTATGAAATGGAATACTACAGAATGGGGAGCTTAGTTTATTGGTGCTCTATTTGTTCATTTGGAAGGTCTGAGCTAATGTAAATAAGGAGCAGTGAGGAAGCATAAATGGTTCCATTCCACTAGCCTGAAGCCAGTATGAACACTAGTTATTTTTAGCAGCATAATAATGTATTATTGATTTATTGATTTCATTTTTGCCAGTTTGACCACCATCTAATAGAGATTTTTAATGGAAAGTGTTTTTTTTCCCTCCTATGTGACTTTCACTTTTCTGGAATTGCGTTTTCATTTAGCATTGCAATTGTGTTTTCATTTAGCATTGCAATTAAGGTTGAAATCCTGCCTGCTTTGAAGTTTTGCTGTTGACATCAGTTAAGCCAGGATACCACTTTAAGAACTCGGTTGGTGGCTGGGTGCTCCTTTGAGATGCGAAACACTTGCAATATGCAATCAAATCAAATCTCTATTAAAGCTCTTCAGAGCATGGCAGTGGCTTGTCTTTA